TTGGCCATCATGTCTGCACTGTTCCTCTGAGCAATGTGACGTGATAACAGTCTCCTGCCTTTTCCTGTAACCCTGTGCATTTCCCAATACTGACCTGACAAACATGCCTGCAGCCTAAAAAATATGGATAAACTATTACTCTCTGTTTTCTATCCCTCAGCAAATTTTGTATTCATGGTGCTACTGTAATTTTATTCTATGATATGTAGTTTTCTTCTCAAGTCTGTTGTGTGACACTGTATCAAAGGCTTTTTTAAAAATAAATTAACAGATTCCATACAGACAGCACCCAAAGAGTCAATTGACCAGGCTGATGGAAACTTTTGCAGTAAAGATCATGAGTTTGATTTCTCAGAAGGAGAACTCAGGTTCATAGCTTTACTAATTGTCTCTACACAAATTGAAACCTTCAGGAAGGATCTTCAGGGTAAAGAAAAGGGCCATATCGTTAATGTATTTCCTGAAGATGGATATAACCATAAGGCCATAACAATTTCATACTGTTGGTGCAGTCAACATTACAGTTTCAGTCAGCAAAGCGCACAAAACCAGCAATATCTATCTCAGATGCTTTTTATCCCACCTGCCAAGAGTTTTTCAGGGTTTCCTCACACTTGTAAACATTGTGGCATCAAAGAACATTGAGCACACAGTTACAGGATCCAAACGCCAAGCCAGACCCCACAAAAGACAAGTGATCAACAAGATAACGCACTGTTGGCAGCACAGCATGTCTTAAGAAATGTGCACCATGAAGACATGGCAATGAAGTGCACAGTTAAGGAAGCCAAAGGTAACTTTTCTAGTAACTGTTTTAGATGACCAAAGTTTCCATATCACCAACCTCACACGCTTTGTTGACTGTATAAGAACCAGGAGCAGGAGTAGGTAATTCAATGCCTTAAGCCTGCTCCAAAGATCAGAAGCTTTTACAACCATTAGCATCAGACATCTTGAAAATACAGATCAACATACATTAAAAGCAAAATGCAACATTGAAGCTGGTCCCAGCATATTGCCACGACACATCCTGAAAGACACCTACCTCAGCAATTGGTGCTCGACGATATAACCTACACAATGCCATTTCTCAGCACATACCAGATCACAAAGTCTGTGCATTAAGTACAGAAACCTGGTCCATGCTTTATATCAGTCTGGGTCTGAAAATCGAGTAGTTAGGGGATTTTACATATTTCTTTTAAAACTTTAACATTTGTGACGAATCTGGAATAGTGTGACTTGATTTCCAGTGTGCTTCAGTGAGTCATGATACAGAGCAAGAACCTTTTCCAAGCTGGATGTGAAGCACGACTACTGGTCTGTTCATTTTGCAGAAAAATCCTCGGAGCTCACCGCATTTAGAATGCTATTTGGGTAGTCCTGTTTCTGATGGTTATCATTTGGGCTATTAGTTTGCCAAGACCTATTTCAGCTGAACATGGATAACATTATTGAAAATGTACCTTTTTTTAAGTGTTTGTGTAGCTGATGATATTGCAGTCATGGATAAAACAAAGGCAGAGTATGACCATTCACCAGATTAGTGTGACTTGTCAAACATCCGAAGCATTACATTGAAGTTTGAATTGTTAATCTTGTAAACTGTTTTACCTGTTTGTACTATGATCAAATTAAAAACATATGAGTCTGTACAACCATGTATATGTGGTTACTGACCTGACAAACCTGTCTGCAGCCTAAAAAATATGCATAAACTATTACTCTCTGTTTCCTATCCCTCAGCAAATTTTGTATTCATGGTGCTACTGTGATTAATTTCAGTGTAATTTTGTTTTAAAGAATCCATCCAGTGTGGAAACAGGCCATTCAGCCTAACAAGCCCACACAAACTCTCCGAAGAGCAGTCTACCCAGGCTCACCCCCTTATCCTATACTTGCATTTCCCATGGTCAATCCACTTAGCATGCACATCCCCAGACACTATGACCAATTTAGCATGGCCAATCCACCTAACCCACACATCTTTGGACTGTGGGAGGAAACCCACACAGACATGGGGAGGATGTGCAAACTCTACACAGACAGTTGCCTGAAGGTGGAATTGAACGTGGGTCACTGGCATTGTGAGGCAGCAGTGCTAACCACTGAGCCACCGTGCTTAAGAGACATGCTCGTGACATTATTACTATACCAAGCACATGACCTGAGCACACAAAAGTCTCAGACCTCACCTTCACTGGGGCAACCCGAAGCATGACATGTTGATGGTAATGTGCTACTGTTTGTAACTGAACAGCTATTATTTGCTCCAACACTGAACTGCCTGTGATTGTAATGTGTGTATGTTATCAGGAGCTGCAGGAAACCTTGGCTAAATCTTTCAGTACCACATTACCACATCTAAGCTCTTATGCTACAGGAGCTAAATTAACTATCACCACATCAGGTATAAATACCCTGCTGAAGGCAAAGCCAATACCATGGTGGCAGATCAAAATTCTCTACCTAATAGCAGTGCAGAAGTACCTCATGACATATGCAGTACTGCAACAGTTCATGGACATGGCCCAACACCAGCAACTCATGGGAAAGTGAAGGTGGAAATAAATTGTAGCCTGGTGAACAATCCTGAGAATTACTGTTAGGAAACAGGGTCCAAAACTGGAAAAACAGATGATTCTCTCTATTTCTATTTCTCTTAAATTTCTTTGAATGCCTCTCTTGAGCCAGCAATCTGTGGCTCCTGTGCATTGAACAGTCAACAATGTATATGTTATCATTATGGATAAATTTAATTAAACTTGGGGAGAATCAAAATGAGACTGAAGCAATTTGAGAAATTCAGAAATTGGACCATTCGACTTTTATTCTGATCCATCCAAATGTTGGCAGCTGTCTTCAGAATGACAATGAAACATTATTTGTCTGAACTGGAGTTAGTAACAAGAATAACAGTTTTAGCAAAGTTATGCTATATCGGAGTGAATGTTACATGCATTAACTTTTGATAGTTTTACCATTCCTTTGAGCGCCCCGTTGGTCTTTGCACTGCTGACTCATCATGAGTCATGTCTGTGTTATACCAGACACAAAATGAATATGGAAACCAAGATTAAGATATGCTGCTATCTTACAAAAGAAGTTGAAAAAGCTTCAATCCCTTCTGTTATAAATTATGTACAGGGTGTTCGAGTTTGATATTGATATAAACAAGATTAGCAGAATTGTGCTGTTCCCGCAGGGAAAGATTCTTTTCTGTATACATTCGAATCTTGGTTGTTAGCAGATTATTAAATCACCAGGCTCCTCTTATTAATAAAATAAATGACAAATTCAGCTGCTTCTTAAGATTCAATATTTGTAAAACTAATTGAAACAATTAAGCCCCACTATAGAATTTGAATTTATCAGAATCATCATGCAACCTGTCAGGTTGTAAGATTTGTCCAAAGCTGCAGAAAGTTTCAACTGATAGTGTACAAATTTATTTTAACTAAGTTTAGATCAATTGTGATTGGTGTTATTGAACTTCATATCCATGTCTGATTTAATACTAAAATACATTTAAAAATATATGCTGTCATGATATTCGTAGCTGGTTGCTATGGAAATATTTTCAGTAAGAACTTTTGCTGGTATTGTGTTGGGATTCTTCCATCTTCATTTTCAAAAAGTGGATCAAATAAATTGAAGAATTAATTGATCTGTGGCTACTTAAAACAAAAATTGTTAATAACTTGCCATTATTAATGAATGGTATTGCCTCTCATGTTTGAAGATTTTCAATAATAGAAGATTTTCAATCTGTGTTGGAAACCTGAAACTAAAGCTTTGAATAACAGAAAATATTACAAGTCAAAAAATAGTTAATCACAGAATTGTTACAGTGCAGAGAGAGGTCATTTGGTCTATTGTACCTGTACCAACTCTTCAAAAGCGTATCATTACTGAATGTAAATCTGCTGCTTTTTCACTATACCCTGCACATTATTTCTATTGATTTTGACCCAAATAATGATTATTTTCAGTACCTACCTCATCAGACTATGTAGATAAGCAGCCAAGTCTCTTCCAGTCATTTCTCCGTCTTGGGATTGTTTATTCTAGGATCATTCGGTCCTCAGTCATTAGGAAGGGAGTTAATGGACTTGTTAATGGAAAAGGAGTGGAATGATTTAACTTCCAGGAAGTTCAACTTGGGTTTTGGAAAAGGAGTATAAGTCAGAGATAGCTGATAAAATGGTTTCAATCTTAGTGATGAAGAAATCCATGAGCTCATTGTACTTGTTGGAGGAGAGGGTGGAGGAGATGGAGATGTTTATAGTAGATGGTTGGTAAAATAATATCTATTTCAGACGTCTACAGTTTACATTAATCATGCTCATTACGCATTTATCTATCAGTTGGAAAGTAAAACTCCTTTGAATCATTGCCAAATTTTAAAACGTCAACCTGAGAAGGCTCACCTTGTTGCATCATTTATCAGTTTATAAATCAAGTGATTTTGAAGTCAATATATGTATTGGTTAATGACTTTACATATACAGGGCAGTTTGCAACAGAACCTGATTTGAGTAATAATTATTTTACATGTAATCCTTGATGATACACAAATAAATAAGATTTGAATATGTTAAGCCTGGCTTGAAATATAAGCAATAGTTCATAGTTAAAAAGCTAACATCAACTATACTGCATCAACCAGTCCTATGCACGAGTCTATTTTAATATATAAATCCTCATTAAACCACAGAATAGTTAGTTCATAAAACAAAGTTCATGTTACCTGTAATGTAGTGTGTTCTCCTGCATGAACAGAGATTATGCAAATTGTCAAATTAGTGTAGGAAATTTTCAGCTCTGAATGCTAGCCATTTATACAGGAACAATTAATTCTGGCTATCATCCTTGTAAACTTTGTAGTTTGTAATCAAATGAAGCTTTCCTTCACATTGTCTGCCTTTACCTCATTTGTATGCACAGGTTAATACAACAAGCATGCCTTTTTCTACAAAAAAAATTTCAAAACATTTTACCCGAATGAATAGGATCTTTTCTCCAACACGATATCGTCCTTGGGAGAGACGCTCCACTGAAAACTTATTTGGACATTTGCAAGGAGGATCTTCTGAAATTTGTTTCACCTATAATGAAATATGGAAAATATCAAAATTCACATATCTTTAAGGAAGCAATCATTTCCTCTAATTTAAGCTAAGTAGAGGGAGAGGAAGGATTCAGGAGAAAGGAAACATAGGCATTGAAATCAAAAGATTACAGCAATACTCTAAGGCATCTGTTTAGAGAATGATACCCACTGTGGGACAAGAAGTCTAGGGTTTATAAGCAAATAGAAACAACAGCAAAGAGTTTTTTTTGAGGAATTAACAAGGAGAATGGATAAAGGGGAACCAGTAGACATCATACTTCTGAATTTCCAAAAAGTGCTTGATATGTTATTGCCCATAAATCTGTCTAATGAGATAAGAGCCTATGGTGTTGGCAACAGTCTGTTAACATGTACATAGGATTGGTTAACTAACAGAAGACAGAGAGTTGGGATAAAGGGGAGAGCATTTTCAGGATGGCAACCTGTAACTCACAGAGTGCCATAGGGAATAGTGCTCTGTCCACAATTATTTATGATATATATTAACAACTCAGATGAGAGAAGTGAATGTACTATAGCCAAATTTGCACATAACACAAAAAGTACCTGTGGAGGCAACTAATGAGGATAACGCAGAGTCTGCAAATAGCTATAGAGAGGTTAAATGAGTGTCAGAAATTTGGCAGATGGAATACAATATGGGAAAATGTGAAGTTATGCATTTTGATGGGAATAATAGAAAAGCTGAAAATTGTTGAAATGGAGAAGGACTGCAGAAAGCTGCAACAGAGAGGGTTTTGTTTGGTCCTTGTGCATGAATCACAAAAAGCCAGCATACAAGTTCAGTGGATAATAGGGATAGCAAATGGACTATTGGTCTTTATTTCAAAGGAATAGAGTATAAAATAGGGAAGTCTTACTAAACGTATACAAGGCACTTGTCAGATCACAGCTGGAATACAGTGAACAGTTTTGAATCATAGAATCATTCATAAAAAAGAGGCCTATTGAGTCTGTCCCCTTATCTAAGGAAGGATATAGTGGTATAGGAGGCAGTCCAGACAAGGTTCTCTGGGTTGATCTTAAGTATGGATGGATTTTCTCATGTGGCAGAGATTAAAAGAATGAGAAGAGACCTTATTGAAACATATATGATTCTTTGTGTGCTTGACGTGGTAGATGCTAAGTGGTTGACTCCCCTTGTGGGAGAGTTGAGGACCAGAGGGTCTTAATTTTAAAGAAGAAGGTCACCTATTTAAGATGGAGATGAGAAGGAATTTCTTGTTGCATCGGGTCATTCAGTCTGTAGAATTATTTACTGCAGAGAATTGTCGAGGCAGGAAAAGTGCGTCGAGGATTGGTCTATTAGGAATCATGTAGAGGTGATATGTTGGACTGGGTTAGACAAGGTCAGAAGTCACATGACACCACGTTATAGTCCAACAGGTTTATTTGAAATCACAAGCTTTTGGAGCACTAAAGGAGCACTGAATGATCAACACTGATCATTTTAAATTAGTAAAATATGAAGCAGATCTTGAATGTGGCTTTATTCAACGTGTTGCGAATTCTGAAGTAAAGCATATATGGCCCAAGTACCCTGTAGATTTATGAAATGATTCAAATTATCCATAATTAACAAATTCCAAGCAAATCTTTTAAAGAAATACTGGCTAGAGAGGCAAATTTTTCGAATTTTATTGGACAGAAATTTTAACAGAAAAAAAACCGAAGTTTATGCATGCCACATGTTCGGCTTATATCTTTGTTTTAATGAAGTATCTTGCCTAGTTTGTTTGTTGTTGCTCAACACTCATGAATATGTGTGTCCAGTAGGAAGTCATTCAATGGAAATTAAAAGTAGGAATATTAGCAAGCTTTTAAAAAAAAATTTACTCCAGGGATGCTCTGACCAGCTCTCGAGCTTTGACCCATTCCTGCCTAAAATCAGTTAACACAATACGAACCATGACACATTTAGCCATTGGCCAACTGGGGATATTGATTCTGACCATTTCACAAGGAAATACCTGCAAGTTATCTGTGGCACGTGTGTAATTTTTAAGAGGTTGCGAGCATTTAAATCCATTTTTAAGGGATTTTAGCATCCAATGTTATTCTTAAAGTAACATTTCGACACATGTCATTGATTTTACAGCTTTTTCTAAATTTTATTGCACCATGTTGACTGATCCTGAACTATGAACTAATTTTAAACATTCCAAAATCAACATGAAACTCTAGATTTTGACATCCATTTGGCTTCAAACTAAACAATACGGAAGCAAATGAATTTTGAGACTTTACGTCGATAAAAGAGGAAACAGTGCATTCCAAAAATCACAAAGCTAGTCATCAATTTCTGGTATTTGATTCTGTCACATAAATAATTGTAAAACAATGTTGAATTACATCATCTAATTTTCCAGTTCTAACAGTAAATGAATAATTAAACCCTCCAATTTTGCAAGCCACAGACTAACATCAATTAGGTGACAATTTAGCTCCTGGAGCATTAGTCATTCTCCATTAACTATGTGTACTAGGGTTCAATAACCCTTATACAATCTGTGGGCCTCTGGCTGATTTTGTTCTTTTTGATTTTGCTGATTTTGTTTTTTTCTTATTTTGCTACTAATTCACAGAAAGTGGATGTCTCTGGCTTGGCCATATTTTATTGCCCATCTCTAATTGCCTTGGAGAAGGATGTGGTGAGGTGTCTTCTTGAAATGCTGCAATCTATGTAGTGTACGTACGTCCACAGGGCTATCAGGGAGGGAATTCCAAGATTGTGACTTAGTGATACTGAAGGAATAGTGATATGGTTTCAAGTCAGGATGGCATATGCCTTAGAGGGTAACTTGTAGGTGGTAATGTTCCCATGCATTTGTTTCCAATATTCTTCTTGACAGCAAGTGTTTGGACTGTGCTTTCTAAGGAACCTTGATGCAGTGCATCTTATAGCTGGTACGCACTGCTGTCACTGTGCGTTAATGGTAGATGGAGTGAATATTGAAGTTGTTAGATGGGGTGTCAATCAAGCAGGTTGCTTTATGTTGATAGTGTTGAGTTTCTTGAGTGTTGCTGGCGCTACACTCCTTCAGGCAAGTGGAGAATATTCTATAACACTCTTGCCTTGAGCATTGTAGATGGTGAATACGCTTTGGGGATTCAGGAGGTCAGTTACTAAATGCAAAATTCCCAGCCTCTGACCTGTTCTTATTGCCACTGTATTTGTACAGCTAGTCCATTTCAGTTTCTAGTCATTGGTAACCCCTAGAATGCTGGTATTAGAGGATTCATTGATGGTGATTCCCCTGGATGTCAAGGGATGATAGTTGAATTCTCTCTTGTTAGAGACTCTGGTTCATCCCAGGAATGTAAAAAATAGTGAACTTAGATTTTGAAGTAATATCATATGGATCCAAACCTGTAACAGCAAAAAACATACATCGGAATCACTAAGGTTTTTTCTCACAGTAAGATTTGGATATTTACAGAGGACGGGTTAGTGGAGAGGGGAGAGCTTGGAATAGGCAACCTGCCATTTCAGATTTCTTTGACCGCTGTGAAATTTATTGCATCTGGATGTGCATTTTAATCATAGAGTCATAGAGTCCTACAGCACGGAGACAGGCACTTCGGCCCAAACTGTTCCAAAATGTCTATCCACGCTAAACCCATTCCCTGCATTTGGCCCATATCCTTCTAAACCTTTCCTATCCATGTATTTGTCAAAATGCCTTTCAAATGTTGTTATTGTACCCACTCAAACACTTCCGCTGGCGGTTCATTCCATATGCATAACACCCTCTTGTGAAAAAAGTTGCTCCTCAGGTTCCCATTTATTCTTTCCCCTCTTACCTGTAACAGACGCCTTCTAGCCCTTGATTCCCCAACCCTGGGAAAAAGACTGAGTGCATTCATAGAACATAACAGCGCAGTACAGGCCCTTCGGCCCTCGATGTTGCGCCGACCTGTGAAACCAATCTGAAGCCCATCTAACCTAAACTATTCCATTATCATCCATATGTTCACCCTATCCATGCCTCTCATGATCTTGTACACTTCTATAAGATCCCCCCTCAGTCTCCTACGCTCTAAAGAAAAAGTCCTAGCTTATCCAACCTCTAAGTCAGTCCTTTGAGTCATGGCGACATTCTTGTAAATTTCTTCTGCATTCTTTCCAGTTTAATAATATCCTTCCTCCAGCAAGGTGACCAAAACTGAACACAATACTCCAACTGCAGCCTCACCAATGTCCTGTACAACTGCGACATAACTTCCCAACTTTTATACTCAATGCCCTGACTGATGAAGGCCAGTGTGCTAAAAGCCTTCTTCACTGCCCTGTCTACCTGTGACTCCACTTCCAGAGAACCATGCACCTGAACTCCAACGTCCCTCTGTTCCACTACACTCCTTAAGGCCCTGTCATTTACCAAGAAACTCCTACCTTGATTTGACTTTCCAAAATGCAACACCTTACATGTATCTATATTAAACTACATTTCCTGGCCCACTTCCCCAGCTGATCAAGATTCTGCTGCAATTTCTGATAACCTTCCTCACTTTCCACAATGCCGCCTACTTTAGTGTCATCCGCAAACTTACTAATCATGCTTTGTACATTCTCATCCAAATCATTGATATAGATAACAAACAGCAATGGGCCCAGCACAAACCCTGACACCACTTGTCACAGGCCTCCAGTCCAACAAGTATCCTTCCACTGTTACTCTCTGCTTCCTACCATCAAGCCAATTGTGTATCCAATTTGTCAATCTTCCCTGGATTCCACAGGATCTAACCTTCCAGAGCAACCTACTATGTGGAACCTTATCAAAGGCCTTACTGAAATCCATTTAGACAATGTCTACTGCCCTACCCTCATCAACCTTTCTGGGCACTTCATCAAAGAACTCTAACAAATTTGTGAGGCATGATCTCCCACGCACAAAGCCATGCTGACTCCTTCTCATCAAACCCTGTCTTTCTAAATGCATGTATACCTAATCCCTCAGAATCTTCTCA